CAACAGAGTTGTAGCTGGTATGGTACTCCGATACATGTATACATTCATGCTTTTCAGGATTTCTGAGGACTTCTGTAAGCAGGACACAACTTTTCCCTCTGATTTCATTCCTCTCACATGGTGTAGTCAGTAAGCAGCTGTGCCAGACAGACAGTTAAGGCTGCATATGAATGATGCATTTCTGCCTGATGGTCTCCTGATTAAAATATTGGCATGAGATGCTAGAAATTGGAGTTTAGTCCTTAGCCGCAGCATGGGTTTCTTCTGGGATTTTTAATTTATTTCTTTTTCCCTCTCATGTACCACACGTTAAAGATAATGATACATTCCCAGATCATGAGAGTGGACAACAGAAATAGTGTATGCAGATACAGTACTGATGCATGTCCTAGCGTGACAAAATGTTCCTTTTCACTCTTGCCTGCATCCTTCCCACCTCCAAACATCATGGCTCTGTTTCTTGAGACCAACACATAGTACAGGACAGCCCCTTCAGCTTTGACCTTGCTTTCCTTAATGGAATTTATGAATAGTAATTCTCCGTTTACCATTGCAGATGTGACTTCTTCAGTGCGTGAATGAATGTACTTTTGTCATGCTTTTAAGTAGTTATCAGTAGTAAAGCTGATTTTGTTTGAGCATGTCACTAGTGGATACCAAATGTATTCAACAGAATTACTCTAGAAAGGATTAAATAACTAATTTCAGATGTAAAAGAAGGATAGAAGCATTGGCTTATTTTTTTTTATCTCAATATTAATTCTACCCATTAATCAGAGCTGGATATACATGTAGACTATATTTAGCTTTGTGGTTTTGCTTTATGCTGTTTGACCTAGATGAAATACATCTACTTGTAGTATTTACCATAGGACTACTTTGAAGTCAGTCAACAGATTTGAGAGAAACTGACATAAGCATGAAATAAACTGAGTTACAGAAGAAATATTTTTAATCATTATTTTTTTTCCATGTATTCTTCCTTCCCCTCCCTCTTTTTATATTGCAGAAAGTTGGGAACAGGACAGTATTGAATAGAAGAAAGCAGAAGAGTAAGCTGCTTATGGTCCTCGTAGCATCTTCTCCTACACTGTGTTCAACAATTCTTTTTACAGATGACAATATTACTCTTCTGTATAAACGCTGTTTCTCTTTTAAAATGACAAAATGGTTGTGCACCTTAGCTGTTAATCAATATTGATCTTGTCCTATATTTCAGAATGATCTCAGGTGAATATGTATTAATTCACTAGTTCACAACTGTTCTTGATTTGAAGGAAGATTTGATTGTTTTCAGTTCGCCTTAGAACAGGAAGATAAAATGCATTAGTTCTTGTGAATGAGAGGGAATGCACTAAAAAATTTAAGGGAAAGTTGTCTTATCCATGAGCAGTAGAGAACTGTTTCAGGTTGGTTTCCCTATTAAGCTTGTTGTATATATATATTTTTTTTACTTTTTTGCTGTTCAATATGTACAAATGAGAAATTGTTGCTGTATTTCAGCTCTTTGTGGTTTTAATAATTGATGTTGGATACACTTCACTTTGCTTTTATAAGTGCTTTCACTTTACAAAAGTTCAAATGTATTTGCTCTATTTCTCCTGAAAGTCTGATAATACTGAATGTAATTCTGACCTACAAAATTACAGAAGTGATAATAGAAGGTGGTTTTGTATTTGTATTTTGTGAGAGAGGAAGTAGATACACTCACCTCTTAAAATGTAATTTGAACACTTGCCTGAAAGTTGTGGAAGAAGCAGTTGCAAACCTGGAGCATTATCTGGGCTCCAGCCATGCAACACTCAGTTAATTTCAATAAATGAGTGTAAAGGTGACTTAAGGTTCACCCTCGTTTTCCCTCATCCAGTGGCCACTCCATGGTCGTGGCACTCATTCCCCAATAGAATAGAACAATGTATTGTAATTTAGAAATCACAAATTATTGCACTGCATGACAGTAGCAGGCAGCTTGGCAAAGCCAGGATGGCACTGAACTGCTGAGACAGAAAGGGAAGGTGAGAGGTGTTGTACTGCATTTAAGGCTGGATCCCATTAGCAGTGTGGCATCATCAGACCTGTCACAGAAGCTGGACCTGAGCTATGTAACTGACGGGCTCCGGATGCCTGGGGCACCTTTTCCTATAAAGAAAACTTCTGAATTTTGAGCTTTGTGTTTCATTTTGGTTTGGGGCAAAGTGACTTTTTTAATTCATCAAAAGTTAAATATCTGTACAAAAGTAAAAAGCACCATGTCCCTTAATACAGCTTTGGAAAACAGTAAATTTGAGAGCTTTGTGTTGCTTTAGAAAATCTCAGGTTACACAGCCAATTTATCTCTTTGCTAATAGAAGCTTTAATGCCAATGAAATATAAAATGCATTCCTAGGGCAGCGTTTTTCTGAAGTGGTCTGCAAGTGCGTGCCTTAGAAATAGCAGGTATTGACAGAATTGGTGTCACTGTATGTCTTCCCCAATGAGAGACACTGGCCACTGGCTTGTGAAAAGTGAAGCATTTCCTAAGATTGTCTGTAATGTGCAAATGTATTTGCAAACATATTAAATTTTGTTACTCAGAAGTGTTTACATACTGTGTTAAAGAATCATAGTGCCAATTGTGAACTGTGGTGTCAAGGAGGGAATTTTTCATTTAGTCATGTCCGAGTTGCATTGTTTGTGAGAAGCTGTGATTTATCAAAAAAAAAAAAGAGGGGACAAAAAGACATACAACCTGGAGCGAAGCTGGAAACAGCACCTTAATCTCCCAGCACCCTTAGCAATCCTCTTCCTGCTAACTGTGCTACACAAAGCAGTATCCTGGAGATGAACACATCGCTGTCACAAGAGATCCGTCTCCCAGTTGAGCTGACAGGAGCAGCAGCATGCCATTTCCAAAATGGAAGGCAGCAAATGAACCTTTTCCAGTCAAATCCTGGGCTTCATTAGGAGCGTTGCCAGCAGGTCGAGGGAGGTGATCCTTCCCCTCTATTTAGTCCTGGTGAGGCCACACCTGGAATGCTGTGTCCAGTTCTGGACAGCCCAGTACAAGAGAGACATGAGCATACTGGAGGGAGTCCAGCAGAGGGCCGCTAAAGTGATTAAAGGACTGGAGCATCCCTCCTGGGAGGAAAGGCTGAAAGTGTACTGGTTTTGGCTGGGACCGAGTTAATTTTGTTCATAGTAGCTTGTCTGGGGCCGGTTATGTTTTGGATTTGTGCTGAAAACAGTGCTGGTAACACAGGGGTGTTTCAGCTGTTGCTGAGCAGTGCTTACACAGCCTCGAGGTCTTTTCTGCTTCTCACCCCACCAGTGAGTGGGCTGGGGGTGCACAAAAAATTGGGAGGGGACACAGCTGGGACAGCTGACCCCAACTGACCAAAGGGATATTCCATACCATATGACATCATGCTCAGCAGTAAAAGTTGGGGAAAGAAGGAGGAAGGGGGGATGCTTGGAGATACAGGTTTGTCTTCCCAAGTTACTGTTACACGTGATGCAGCCCTGCTTTCCTGGGAATGGCTGAACACCTGCCTGCCACAGCTGGGACTGTTCAGCCTGGAGAAGAGAAGGCTGGAGGTGGGAGGGGGGAAATCTCATTCATGTGTATAAATACCTGGAGGGAGGGCGCAGAGAGGACAGGGCCAGGCTCTTCTCAGAGGTGCCTGGTGACAGGACTGGAGGCAGTGGACACAAACTAAAACCGGAGGCTCCATGTGAACATCAGGAAACGCTTTTTCTACTGTGAGGGTGACCATACACTAGCACAGGTTGCTCAGGGAAGTTCTGGAGTCTCCATCCTTGGAGGTACTCAAAAGCTGCCTGGTTAGTGGCCCTGGGCAACTGGCTCTAGGTGGCACTGCCTGAGTAACAGAGGTGGACCAGATGACTTACAGAGGTCCCTTCCAACCTCAACCATTCTGTGAAATGAAGCATGATTGTCACAAGCAACCTATAGCTAGGCTTCTCTCACTAAAGAGATAGAAGGGTGTGAAAAAGCTAAACCTTAAACACACAGTCCAAAGTCTGAAGAAATAATTCCTAAGCATGGATGGAGCGTAAAGTTTGAAAGTTGACTTTCGCCCTTCTGAAGCAAAATGTGTGTGAAGCATGCTTTTGCATTATTTCAGACCTCTCATCCTTTTTGAGTAAGGACCTTCAGTGGAAATGTATTTATTTCCATTTTTATGTTTACACCTAATATAGCAATCTAGCAGAGAGCAGTATTTTGTCAGTGCTGTAGCAGGACAAGACAGACAGCCTGCTAATACAGAAATACACACCAAATTTTAACAAAGCGAGATTCACAGAATTCACAGAATTCACAGAATTGTTAGGGTTGGAAGGGACCTCTGGAGATCATCTAGTCCAACCCTCCTGCCAGAGCAGGGTCACCTACAGCACGTTACACAGGACAGCGTCCAGGCGGGTTTTGAATGTCTCCAGAGTGGGAGACTCCACCACCTCTCTGGGCAGCCTGTTCCAGTGCTCCACTACCCTCAAAGTAAAGAAGTTCCTTCTCATGTTAAGATGGAACTTCCTATGTTCAAGTTTATGCCCATTACCCCTCGTCCTATCACTGGGTGCCACTGAAAAAAGACTACTCCCATCCCCCTGGCATCCTCCCATTAAGTATTTGTATGTATTAATAAGATCCCCCCTCAATCTTCTTTTCTCTAGACTAAAGAGACCCAAGTCCCTCAGCCTTTCCTCATAAGAAAGGTGCTCCAGTCCCCTAATCATCTTTGTTGCCCTTTGCTGGACCCTCTCCAGCAGTTCCCTGTCTTTCTTGAACTGGGGAGCCCAGAACTGGACACAGTACTCCAGATGCGGTCTCACCAGGGCAGAGTAGAGGGGGAGGATGACCTCCCTCGACCTGCTGGCCACACTCTTCTTGATGCACCCCAGGATGCCATTCGCCTTCTTGGCCGCCAGGGCACATTGCTGGCTCATGGTCATCCTGTTGTCCACCAGGACTCCCAGGTCCCTCTCCACAGAGCTGCTCTCCAGGAGGTCAGCCCCCAACCTGTACTGGTGCATGGGGTTATTCCTCCCCAGGTGCAGTACCCTACACTTACCCTTGTTGAACTTCATAAGGTTTCTTTCTGCCCAACTCTCCAGCCTGGCGAGGTCACGCTGTAAGGCAGCACAGCCTTCTGGCGTGTCAGCCACTCCTCCCAGTTTTGTGTCATCAGCAAACTTGCTGATGGTACACTCTATCCCTTCATCCAGATCATTGATGAATATGTTGAACAAAACTGGGCCCAGTACTGACCCCTGAGGGACACCACTTGTTACTAACCTCCAACTAGACTCTGCGCCACTAACCACAACCCTCTGAGCTCTATCTGTAAGCCAGTTCTCAATCCACCTCACTGTCCATTCATCTAAGCCACACTTCCTAAGCTTTCCTGTGAGGATGATGTGGGAGACAGTGTCGAAAGCCTTGCCAAAGTCAAGGTAGACAACATCCACTGCCCTCCCCTCATCCACCCATCTAGTTACTTTGTCATAGAAGGCTATCAGATTAGTCAGACATGACTTCCCCTTGGTGAATCCATGTTGACTACTTCTGATAATCTTCTTTTCATCCAGGTGCTTTGAGATGACTCCCAGAACAAGCTGCTCCATCATCTTCCCAGGGATGGAGGTGAGGCTGACCGGCCTGTAGTTTCCCGGGTCATCCTTCCTGCCCTTTTTGAAGACTGGAGTGACATTGGCTATCCTCCAGTCCTCAGGCACCTCACCTGTCCTCCAGGACCTTTCAAAGATAATGGAGAGAGGCCCAGCAATGACTTCCCCCAGCTCCCTCAGCACACGAGGGTGCATCCCATCAGGCCCCATGGATTTATGTATATCCAATTTATCTAACTGATCTTTAACGTGCTCCTTGTCAACCAAGGGATAGTCTTGTTTCCCCCAGACTTTCTCTGTTACCTGCAAAGTCGGGGTCTCACAAGGACTGGCCCGAACAGTGAAGACAGAAGCAAAGAAGGCATTTAGCAACTCCGCCTTCTCTGCATCATCCGTCACCACAGCACCTGTCTCATTCAACAACGGGCCCACATTTTCCCTAGTTTTCCTTTTGTCTCCTATATACTTAAAGAAACCCTTCCTGTTGGCCTTGACATCCCTCGCCAGGTTCAATTCCAAGGCTGCCTTGGCTTTCCTTGTTTCCTCCCTGCATACCCTGACAGCATTCTTGTATTCCTCCCAAGCAGTCAGCCCCTTCTTCCACCTATTGTAAACTCCCTTCTTCCACCTG